TATGAATTGCATAGGGGTTCAACACTATATCGGAATCGATGAAGAGGAGCAAAGGCTTCTCAGTGCTGGACGCCCACCTTTCCTGAAGAGCTTGGAATGCCCATTTTTGAGCCTGTCGTTTTCCTCCGTGGGGATACCTACAAACCGTGACTTGAATTCCTCGATAGGTCAAGAATGTGATCTGAGGGAATGTCGTTGTGCTCATTTCCTTCTCTTTCAGATAACCTATGTTTCCCTCAATGTTATTGTATATTTTCTTCGTGATGGAGTCTTGAGGAGTCTCTGCATGTTTTGTGAGGCAATACATTGTGGAGAGGTATAAATTAGTCTGTTTCTCTTCGTCGAACGCTAGCATTAGTTCCACTTTATCGGTGGGATATTTGGAAGCCACCGCACTATTAATTGCTGCCATCAAGGAAGGGAGAGGTTCATTATAAATTGGCATGACTATAGTAATATGTGGTATTCTCTGGAGATCTTGCAATTTTTCTACAATAGTTTTCTCTGACGGTGCAAGAATCCACGCTATTGATGCCATGATGACCTGGAGGAATGACATTGTCGTGACGAAAATGATTTCTGGGAACAGGAAAACGGTCCAAGGGTGCGAGAGTCCAGAATTTTTAAAAGCTTCTGGCGTGTTGAAAGTCCCAAGAGCCTGCCAGTTCACAGTGTCCAAGATAATATACCAGATGAAGCATGAGTACGGGACATAGAACAGAATGAGCAGAAAGGCAATGAATGATTTACATCCTCCTGATCTAAGCAGGACTACCATCAAAACCCATAGGTTGATTGCAATCTTCATGAGTCCGTGGAATATGGCCAGAAGAAGAATCGTACCAAGGGTGGAATATAGGCACCATTCATAAATGGAGTAGTGGAGATCAACACCACCTCTTTGCCCTAAATATGGAAGAAGATAATAGACAGGTGTTATGGATTTTCTTGTTTGAAAGTAGTGCTTTTGTTCATTTCTTTTCTTTACGAGACTTGGACGAGAACTTTATTGCGTTTTTGCTATCTTCTTGAACAATTCATTTCAAGTTTCATTTAGCTCCCTGAATGAGGAGTATTTCGGTTTCTATAACATTGGCGAAAGTGAATTGAAATGCTTAGATATACAGGGTGTCCCTAAATAGGTACCCATTAATTCTTCAATCCAAGAAGTATTCACAAATTTACCGTTGAAACTCAAATGGAACAATAATACAAATTTGTGAAGTTTTGTTTAATGCTAAACATGTCCAGCTTCTCTTTCAATTCACTTTTTTTAAAGAGTGAATCATGGCAGGGTACCTGAGTTTGGAGGAAAGGTGTAAAATAGCGGCGTGGATGTATGTTCATGAGATTGTTTTGGTCGTACAGAGAAAATACCAACCTCACTTTCAGAGGCCTCCTCCAACACGCAAAACCATTACATAAATTTCATATATTTTTGTGGGATTTCATCAAGGACTGATTTTATGCCACACGCCCAGAGCTTGAATAAGCTACGAGATCGCATTACTAATGCTGTTCATGGCGTATCCCGTGTTACCTATGCAAAATGTATGAATAATTTTGTTCATCGTGTCCAGACGTGTACCAAAGAGAAGGTGGATATCTTGAGCGCTAAGTAATACATCAAAGATTAATGTAATTTTTCCAATAAAAAATTAAACTGGAAATTGCGAATGCTTGTTCTATTTAAAAAGATGAAAAAGGGTTTATATCTATGTGAAATTATCTGAAAGCCCGCTTTTGTAACTTCTCTGCATTACTCAGCAATCGATGTGTTTGGGACAATCAGAAGTTGATAAGGATAACTGGAGGAGACGAGTTGCGGGTTATAAAACTTGCATACAAACCATCTTTTAAGAAGGACTTCATTTGTGAATTTCAACGAAAGATGTCCATCCTGTATCATATAAAGCGAGAGGAAGTTCTTTGTAAAACACCTGACAACTCTACTATTGCGGGATCGCTGTATATGACCATGTGGTGATTGCCCGTTGCCCATGTCCTGGGATGCGTTGAAGCAGTACAGAAAGTGCGTTCAGAAAATTGTGGCTTTTGATTGAGGTAATCTTTTGGTGCGTAAATTTCGAATATACTTTATTATGTCGCGAATGAATGTCGCGTTTTTGTTGTTGCCAATGAACGCTACCCGTTAGGATCCCTGAAAAAAGGAGAGTACTTGGACGAAACTGCTTTCACTTCGTTGAGAATTTAAGAATTCTCAGAAGCTGGCAAGAAATACCATCAAGTAAGGCAAACAGGTGATTTTCACTCTTTGAACGATGTCATAAGTAATTCTGTGTGCGAATAAGTGCGTCAAGCATACCTAAAATTGTTGTCGTCCTTTCGCCACCAATTGAAATCTTGCAACACAGTCGATTCTCCGAGGAACAGGCGAGGGGTAAGAGGGTGTCCAGATCGCAGATAGCAGCAAATGCTGTATCTAGGCACGAATAACCACTATCGACTGGGCATGACAGGCTCGCTGCATCGGTCGCTGGAGAGGACGTGGTATTTGCTTCTGGAGCCATCCGCTGGCAGCAGAGTTCACTAGACTGACAGTTGTCCACGTTCGTGGTGATCACTGTTCCTGGCTCGCAGGAAGACGCTTCTTCGCGGCTGACGCACTCATGAGGACAGGTGCCACAATTCGAAGTCAGGCTTCCAAAGTCTGTTCCATCCCCACAAGTTCCACGAACACTCTTAAGGATCTTCGAGTCCGAAACAAGCCAATCCAAAGCACAATCACACCCGATGGGATTTTCTGGAAAGTGGAAAACACATAACGACCCATTGAAACGAGACTTAGGTTATAATTCACTCATGTAACTCATGTTTCACTTGACTAGGGAAAGCAAATGTGGGAGGCTCCTCATGCATGTGTGGAAGATGCTGCTCACCATGCAAATGCAGTACGCCCGTACCCTGTGAAAGGAGCTCCAGCATAGGACGAAATACCTCCTCTGACAATTTGGATATATTGTTCCCATTTAGAAAAACTTCCGTGTCCAGGGTGAGACCTGGAATAGAGAGGCGGAATGCAATGCAACTCGTGTGTTAGAAACTTTCAAAAGGCTCTTCCTTACTCATGGAATATGAGATGGAAATATCAAATGAGCAAATACCATCCAAAAGTTGCAGCACGTCCAACATAACTTTTAGAAAGTTAAGTTTTAAACTGCATTTTTCCTGGTTCACTAATATTCTCTCCCTTATGGAAAATAAAAAAAATATGTGTAATAAGTCTATGTTATTGCGTGGAGGCGAAATTTGCTGAAGGAGATCGAATGGGGTTGAGGCAACTCCTTCCCAATGTTACCTTAGTCTTCCCTAACGTTCCTGACATTTGCAGGCTCAGTGCTTCTTCAGACATCGCGAATTTTTCCGATATCCTGATTTACAAAAAAAAAATCCTGTCATAACTAAGCGAGTGAGATAAAGAGGTAGAAAAGAACAGAATCTTCTTATTTGTTGGAAGTCTTCGGCGCTCCCAACTTCCACACAATTGGAACATGAAGGAAGATGGCTTTTTTCCTATTCCATGACAAATCAAGCAATGGGTAACATCCTACCATCTCAGAGTTTGATTAAATTTACTATGCAAGGTTATTATGTCGCAAAACTCGGAAATTTTACATTTCAGCCTGCTCGGAACAGTAGGTCAGACGCCTAAGTTGATCAAAATGTAGTGTCAGTTTCTAACCTCGGATTTTTCATATCCCTGTAACTCAAGAACTATACGTGCTTAAGCTTGGCTGCGGTGTCAATTCATTGGATATTGCCTGAAAATGTCAAAATGTGTATTGAAATATCATTTGAATCAAGAACGCATAATATTATTTATGGGCAAAAAATTTGACTTTTGAACTTAGCATAAACCCCCCGAAAATTAAAATCACTGATGTGGCTGACATTTCCGACTTTTCCGACATAATAACCTTGCATAATACATTTAATCAAAATCTGAGATGGTAGGGTGTTACTTTGAGAATTTTTAGGCGATTTTTCATGGAATGACCCCACTTCAGAGTGAGTCGAGGACGGATATCTCCAATTCTTTCTGCATCCGCCTGCATTCCCTGTCCAATCGGAGCAGTGTAATGATGGGAGATCATCATTCCGAGGCAGAGTAACTATCATGAATACCTAGTTGGAGTCTAAGTTCAGAAGACACTTAACGGAAGATTCGAAGCAATCTGAGAGACGCAGGCAGCTGATAGGCAACTGTACTGTATTTTGGGTCACTTAATCCTCTGAGTAAGGCGCGACGAAGTACATTCCTCTAGTAAAGACCAAGGAGTTCGTCCCCACAACTGATATTCGGAAAGTCTTTCCAATCGTCCATTTGATGGTTAATGAGTGTCCAATGGTTCCTACCTGTGATGGCGTCCGGCTCTATTCTTGCGATTTTGTTCTCGCTGAGCCCCACCGTCTTTAAAGTCTGGCTATTGAATTGAAGCAATCCAGTCGAAAGTGTTGGTCCCAGATTGCACCTTGGACACCAAAAGCGCTCCAGCATCTCCATATTCTTCAGCACTCCAAAGGGGAATTCCAATGAGGGATTCATACCTGTTGCATTCAGTGCAAATATGTTCATGTGGATGAGCCAGTTATGCGTAGAAAATCATGAATGGAGTACCACTTTGGGCCATACCCATTTGTACTTTTAATACATTTTTTTAATTGTCAAATGAGGTCTGACTCTCAACCAGTTTCACTTTTGGCAACTCAACATTTGTTTTTGCATCTCGGGGAAAAGGTCAGGCTGGCGTCAGATGAGTGCAGCGATTTCAGACGTGCTCAGCCGAAAATAGCTCTTGAAGTGGAATAACCTGACTGAAATATGACAAGATCTAGATAGCAGGTCAAGACTGCAAAAGAACACAGCGACTTGAATGCATCTTGCAGAACGGGGGGGGATCGAGTTTTAAGCGTAATGTCCCTCCCCAGACTGAAATACGGGACTCGGCGGATTTCATACATAGGACGCCAGGTGCACTTTGAATCCATCATCATCAGACCGAAGATGGCTTTTGCTTTGAAGACGACAAAAACTAAAATAAGTTATTTTTGCGACTTGACTGAAAGCAAAATGAATTTCTGAACATATAGGCACTTTCTCGTGATGCTCGAACGTTGTGATCGCGAAGAACGTATGATCTGGCATCTATTTTCAATGAAATGCTGCAGATCCAGGAAACGAAAAACCGGCATGAAGCTTTAAATTATCTAAATTGAAAATGATGTACGACTCTGCACATTTAGAGGAGCACAAAAGGTACTGAGTATGAAAAAATGAGAAAAACAAGATGCTCAACGTCGCAAAAATTTGCAAAAAGGATGGAAAACATTTGTTTCTGCTTTATCCCATATTTTGCAAGCAGGCAATTCGGAGAATGTGTTCACGCTCAACCAGCTAATATACAATTCATACTAATCACTGTTATTGTTTACAGCTTCACTATTTAAACAGTTCCACGAGGTGAAAACTTTGACAGCGACTCTTTCCGGGGTCTGTCCGCGTCTTAGAAGGCGTTGCATTCCCGGGACCAACCGAGACTGCAAAGTGTGGAAAAGGAGCCATACGAGACATTTAAATGTCTGATGATATAAAATGATTTTTAAAAAAGTATTTATATATATGGTGATGCAAAAAAATACTCCTGTTTGGCGCTTTATGAAGCCCGCTGTGGATAATCTAGGTTCGTGATGTTTTTTCGCATCACATTTGAAACACAACAAAATTTGTTTCCTGAAAGTTTCATGTACCTAGGTTTTCCCAACAAAAATTGACAGTCGTTTAAAGTGGAGTCATAGAACGTACCTTTTCTGCGTATGAAGTGAATGGGGTTTCAGCTCTGTTCGAATGATGTCTCGCACTTGACGCTATAAAGACTGCTTTCTACGCCATGTCCATGTCGAAGTATTCTACACGTTCCAGACTAGTAATACTATTGTACATCGTAGCATCTCAATCGATACTACGCATAATACTACGATGGGAGCTGCCATACAAAGATGTCAAGAGAGAGAAATCCTTCGAACAGTGCCGAAACTCCAACCACCTCAAGGGCGGACGACTCCGCATTTTACGACTCCGCTTAGAACGACTGTCGACAGATATCATGTCACTCACCGACGTCCAACACCCTCAAGTTGGGAGTGTCCCATCCATCCTCTTCGACTCTCGCGATGTTATTGAACGGGAGATGGAGCACTCGGAGGTTGAAGCTCTCGACAGCCGGGAGGACGGTTAGGGAGTTGTTCCGGAGGTTGAGCGTCAAGAGGTTGGGCAGTTGGGGGAGGATGTGGGATGGAAACTCCTTCAGGCGGCTGTTCTGGATTTCCAGCACCAAAAGTCGGTCGTTCGACGCCAGGATGGCCGACGGATGGACGGTTTCTACGTTGGTGTTGTCGATTCTGATGGCTTGGAATGAGATGAGCCCAAGGACTCCCCTAGGGAGCTTCATCACGTCTTCGTTGTCCTCCAGCCTGAATTCCCTACAGCGACGAGCGATACGTTCTTCATTGAAATTGAAAGCTTGTGACTCAAACTTTTGGACGGAGGTAACGCAGTTACTCCAAATATTGATGGGCAACGCCCTTCCGATACCTTAAATCATATTTTTACATGTTTGACTTACTTTTAAATCACTTTCTTGAAGCAGAATACAGATTTTTCCACAGGATACTACAGCACAGGTTTTAATTGAGTGAATTACGAATCTCTGGTATGATGCTTGGCTAAGGATTCCCAATTGGTTTTTCCCGCAGCACCGTTTCATTCGAGTTAATTTTCCTGGCTTAACGACTGCTGAACGAGGTAGATAGTGGGCGCATTCAGTTGTGACCCGGGTCATGACTCGAGATTCATGATTCTCGGCAAGTACGGTGCTTTTCAAAAACTATTATAACCAGAATTGATGACATTGACAAGAGGTGTCACCACGGAGTCAAATTTATTTTGAAGCCTCAATGCAACCATTGAACTGAGACCCTCGAGTCATGACTCGGGTCACAACTGAATGCGCCCAGTAATTATTGAGGACTTCCACCCGAGCGGGACGTGTCCCAGGCGGAGACAGGCGTTGTAGAGGGACTGACCTGCGCCCTCTCCGAGTGTGCATCGCTGGGACCGGCTTGCGGGCCAAACTTTGGCTACCCCAAACGGGCTACTTTGGGCCAAACACTTATAAATTAATTCACTATATATTCAGTATCAACAAGCATCGGGGCTCACTAGCGACATCTAGCGGCGGAACCTGTGAACGAAGGTCAGGGGCAATCACCCCTAGCTGGTTCGCATGCTTTTATATCCTTACCGTGACAATAGCCTTGTTTCTACTGGGTTCTTTTCCTTTGAGTGCACCTAGGAAACCCCCCAGGCGTTGTCACTAAGCCCGGATAATTTCTTTAGGGACACACTTGGGTTTCGAGCCGGTCGAAACAGGTCAGGCCGCATTCCTTGGTGTGACCTGTGGCGCTTATTTCATCCCTCTATCTGTGGCTTGTGAAAATGAAGACGCGTTGGCTAAAGAGGACGTGAAAGCATTTCTCCTGTTCAAAGATTTAAATATTCAAACGCTTCTCAATGGAACTTTGAGAAATAGCAAGGCTTACAAACGGCTCATTGCGGTCACCCTTTTTCGTAGTTCATCAAAGTCTACAATAAAATATTGTATGTGAAAGAATACTTTCAAAAAAGTGAAGGATAGCAATCGTGCTACTGGTAACTCTCCGGCAGCCACTCAGTTTTTGGCTTCTCCACCCCTTCGAATCCACACTCCGCGGAATCCCATTGCGGAGGAAATAACGTGCTTCCATCCATGCTGAATCCTTGGAATAAGGGTCAGTCGAAACGTCCCTTGGTGGCAAATGCCCTGAAGGATCATACCAAGGGGAGGAATATTCCCTAGTTGTGCCAAATATACTCAGGTGAATGAGGACATATTTAGTCTCCTAGGGAATGAGTCATTAATGAAATATCTTGAAGACTGGCTAGTTGAAACAAGATTATTGTCTTGGAATCTTCCTGTGGGGCATGCCTTCTGAAATGGTATCTTCGCATATATTAGTCTGAGTGGAAGAAATCGAGAAGCTAGTAATGTTCCCTCCCGAGTTGAATATCAAGAACGAAAAAAAAACATGAAATTGAAACCTTCTGAAAGAGTGAAACAGTGTTCTATGCAACCCTGGGGAATTCTGTGTTGAGAGGGGAAGACACATGCACAACTTTTCCTCCAAATGCTCTCGGAGAGGAATAAAGAGGCTGTCAATTTTCTCGTCGCCTTTTGGGACGAGAAAATTGAAGAAATAAATTAGGCATGCGTATTAAAATATTTGGAATGCAATAAGGAACTACGTGTGGACCAGTAGCCATGCGTCGAGGGAGGCACAATCCCATACAATTGAAAACATTCATCAGGATAGCAATAACTGAAAGAAATTTCGCACTAGAGAATATAGATCTGCCATTCTACTGGTTCTTGTACCAACAGGAATTATTATTCACATTCACATCAAACCCAACAACCTTTAAATAAAATTAATAATAGCAATCATTGGTTCGGCATACTATATGAAAAGGCCTGGACGACTAGACTCGGACCATCGGGAACATGGTCGCGTGGAAATGGGAGAACAGTGTGAAGAGTAGGATGTCAGATACGGCATTTCACGCGTGCGCCCAGCAACCATGTCTACGTGGCCGGGAGCAGCCGCTCTCCTCCATTGTCTACTATGAATCCGTCAACCGCCAGGGCTGGAGTTGAGGTGGATGTTTTCCTGGAAGACGGGCACTCTAACCCAAGCGGAAAGCTGTACGCGCGCATTGGGTCGTGTTGTCCGATTGCTGTGGTTACTGCGGACAGACGGAATGAAAAAACTTGAGAGTACTAGCCCATACTGAGAGTACTGATCTGCCATTCCAGTGGCTCGATACCTTTGTAATAATAGTCTTCGCCACATCCTAAGCAAGCAACATGGAAATAAATATTGTCATTGGGGCTTTTTATGTAGGACTATGTCGTACCAGTCAAAATGTCCAGTCTAGGCCTATACCTAGTCCACTTTATGGAACTAGGTATGCCGTCCTACATCAGAAAATGTTTCTGAATTCTCACAATTTCCTGAATGGCATTCGTTCCTATTATTTTCATATGGCTCATAGAATTTGGAATCCATGAAAAGTGTTGGAAACACTTTTCCGAAGCTTTCTTGCCGACATTATTCAACCTCTTTATTAGCGTCTGAATCTAAACCTTTCGGCCAGAAGTGAATATCATGAGTAATGCTATATGTACGAGGAATGGAATGCTCTCCAAGTTCACCTTTGCCTCTGTGTTGAGTCAGAAAGGAAAGTGGAAAACAAAAGTGGAGACGATATATTATGAAATACATGTACAGATAAGGAAAGCTGTTGCTTTCAGACGGACGTCGAAGTGCTGGCGCAAGTTCCTGCGATAAAACTGGAATCCTTGATGGGATACAGACTCTGACCTCTAGAAACATAATCTTCACCCAATTGGATCATTTTTTTCCAAGAGGCTCTCGTAACAAGTACTGGTGCAACTGAGGAAAATACTGATACCGATATATTTCCGAGGCAAATAGAAATCCTGATAGTGGTAGAGCTGCCACTTCTAACACGAGGACAATTTTTTCCTATGTAATACCTGTTCTTTCTTCCCACTTCAATCGTGTAACAGTAATTTAACCTATCTGGTAACTCCTTTACTTACTGTACCCCCTTGATAGGACCTCAATTTTCTGTCTTTGACGAACCAGACCACACGTTCGGATTTCTCCTACGGCTGGGAATCATAATGCCACATTGAATCCACAATGACTTGGTTAGTATCCAGTCCACCCCAGAGGGAGTCAAGTTATCCTCGGGGAAATGAAACGTTTTTAGGATGCACCGGATATCGTACTTGGACGCATAGTAGATAACGTCTAGCTTAACGTCTTTAAAGGTTCATTTTCAGCGAATGTCAGCAAATTCCTGTAAAATATACATCCCAGAAATCGTACTTCAATAAAAAAAAGTGTAAGTTCTCAATGAGAAAATCATTTTAAGAAAATGTCCGTTCATGAAATATTACTATTTACCACGAAACACAATCTAAATTTCCTTATGTGCAATCCCCCCTCGGTATCATGGCCGAAAGGGCTACAACAGAAGCTTTTCCCTTTACTTTTGAAGAAACTGGGTTGTAAATACGAAAACAAGAGAACAAAAATAGAATTATGCTAACTTAAGATATTCTCACATCTCTGAAGACGTCACTCATTACTTTAAATATTCAGCACACAGAACAACTCTCTCACCGGAGCATATCTGAATCTGTATTTCTTTATTCACACACACCTGATTCTGAGTTATTATTTCACCCACTGCATGAGTATGCTTAATTGATGGAGTCCTATGTATCACGCAAATGTTGTAGCAGTCGGGTGTTCCATTTTTGGGTTTCATTAAATGTCACACACGACTGACATGGATACAGCTCTAGCACGCACAACGTAAGAGACATAAACTCATAGAATGGCAAAATGGGACCGATTATATTCACCTCAATAAATCTTGCCTCTTGCTCAATCACTTTTTTCAAGATATTTACAAAGGAATTCATTGCTAAAGACAAGGCTTTCAGGAGTAATTAGTTATAAATTGCATGATGAAAATAAAGATTAGGTATTGTTGGTACGGGACGAGCCTAAGTGTTCTGTTTACATATCATCCAGGGCGAAAACAGCAAATATTTATCTGAAACCCATTTCTTGCAGATTGAAGAGAAATTTTATTAGAAGATTTTAAGGATGCATCATTGGTCTCCGGTTCAGAACGAAGCTGAAGGACTCGGAACTTAAAATGTGCACTGAGAAGGCAGTTCTCTTTCCAATTTCGATTTATGTTTTATCGTAAATCATGAGTCACCCCACCCCCCCATCACACCCATTTGGTCTTGGCTTTTTCGGGGTGATGGGTGGTGTGTGGGCTATAGTCCCCAGCGATGCAGGAGCAGTTCCAGGATTCAATGGTTTTCTGCCCTCTTCTCCTGGGCTAGTGGCCGGACATTTCCTGCCTGTTGCCATGGGGTGGGTTTGGCTGGGAGGGACATTGCAGTCTTCTTCTATTCAATATATATATATATATATATATATATATATATATATATATATATATATATATATATA